TGTTGTGCAAGAGATGTAGAGGACAAGACGCACCTATCCTTCACAGAAGTGCAAGAGCAACGAAAGAAAACACGAATATCCCTTCTAGTAATTCGCTTATATAGCTTGCGTAACCTTTTGCAGCAGTAAAATCAGTGGGATCGCCATCAGAAGTGATAGGACGTMAGTCGACGATATATATCTGCGTTCATATTAAGGCTCGAAAGGGAACTGAGGAGCCCGTTTGAGTCACTACAAATTCTCGGGCCAGTGTCTCTGAATCGGAAGCACACGAAACTTCAACTTTTGACTGAAAACTGAGCCAAACATCACATGATGCTTCGTTCCGGGGGAAAGAAATTTAAGGCGGCCCTGACCTCGGGTCCTTGCCGAAGATATCTTTCATCGTCGCCACCGGTGGCTGCAGCGGCCGCCGCATCGCCCGGYGACCACGSTTCGTCGTCGTCATCTTCTTCGATTCGTTATGCAATGCCTCTTTCGATGCTTTCTCTGGCGGTTGGATTTGCTGCAGGCCGCCTTTCCTTCCGATCGCCGGAAGAAGAAGAGCGGCTCAAGCAGTTGCCCAAGGGAAACCCGTTGGCCTGCTGTGGGGACAACCACACAACGGACGATGGTTCGCAGGCACACTCTCACTCGCACTCCCACTCGCACACGCACTCTTCCAATTTTTGGAAAACGACGAGCTGTGATGCTCCTCAGTTGTCCGAGGAGCACCAACAACTTGTCAAAACGCTCCGGAGAATTGTCGGGAAAGATTGCTTTCTGGACGGCCGGGAGATAAACACCGAAACCACGGCCTATCTCAAGGGAGCRCGCATGGGAAAGGGAACCGCCCTGGCAATTGTCCGGCCCACCAAGCTGAAACAGATTCAGGACATCGTGCAGGCCTCGGTCGATGCCGGGTGTGCCGTGCTGGTGCAGGGATCCAACACCGGCCTGACGGGTGCCTCCGTCCCAAGGCCACAATCGGACGGACGGCCGACGGTGGTGATCTCCATGAAGAACTTTGACACGATCTTTCCGATTGATGGCGGAGAAAAGGTGGTCTGTCTCGCGGGGGTAGGACTGGCCTCCCTAAAACATTTCGTGGCGGACAACTTCCCCGATCGTGAATCCCATTCCATCTTGGGGTCGACGTTTCTGAATCCAACCACCGCAGCTGGTAAGTGAAATGGTTWGACTAGGCAATGCTCTGGCTTAGGSTTATTATTGAAACAATGTRCTCAAGTYACCACTTTCTTTTTGTGTGTTCTTTMAAAWATGTATTTCATTCACATTTATCAGGTGTTGCGTTTGGTTCTGGGGGTACCCAGAGCCGCAAGGGCCCAGCATTTACCGATCGGGCTTTGTATTTAAAGGTGGTACCRGATAAATATGGTAAGCACATCGTTAAGGTGGTCAATACATTAGGAATCGAAGACCTAGATTCGGAAGAGGGCGAATTTGTTGCCAACAAAGCGTTGGACGGAGTCATTCCCACACTCGATTCCTACATCGATGTTGTAAAGAACGAACAGGACAACACTATGAAGAAATCCAACAACACGTATGGGAAAGACCAATGCCACGACAAAAAATACAAGGAGAAACTATGCTCCCTGGACAATAAGATGAGTCGATTCAATGCAGATACCAGTGGCCGTGACTGCAACCGGTCGGAAGGCAAGGTCCTCATTTTGGCCACGGTGCACGATACCTTCAAAGCACCCACCAAAGCAAAATCCCTATGGATTTCTTTCGATAGCTTGGAGCTGGCCACAAAGTTCAAAACGGAGGTCTGCCTCGACAGCCCAGAAGATCTGCCTGTGAGTTGTGAGTACATGGATCGTGATTCCTTCGATGTCATCGACGAGGCGGGTAGATTCATGGGGCACCTGATCAAGTTTTTTGGTTCGGCCAGCCCGGTGGTAAGCGCTGGCTGGGCAATCAAGCTGAAGATCGAAGCACTCGATATTCGGGGAGCTTCGACCTTTCCGGACACTGTCCAATACTATTTGAATAACTTTCTTCCCGCCGTTCTTCCCAAGGAAATAATGAAAATGGGTTACGCCCGGGATCATCACATTGCCACTACGGTCGGCGACTTYAATGGAAGTTTGRGYCGTTTCGAAGAACGTTTCGAAAAGTTCTGCAAAGAAAACGAGGGAAAGATCGATKTCTACGAATGYAAGACAAACTCCGAAAAAAATGGTGTCACCGCCTTTCGATTCATCGCGGCTGCTGCCTTCAAAACCTATTGCGTCGGGACCGGCCTCCAGGGGTACAGCGTTGATTATGCCCTGCCAAAGAAGGATTCGTCGTCGCCAAAACTGCCAGAAYCCAACCAACCGGTCAAGCGGATGAGATACAGCCATTTCCTGTGCAACGTTGTGCACGAGGATCTTGCATACGAACAGGGAGTGGACACCCACGCTGCCAAGATGGAGCTGAAGCACGTGGTAGACGAAACGTATCACGGACGATTGCCGGCCGAGCACGGCCACGGGACGGAATACCACGCCCCRAAGGACACGCAGAAACGCTGGATGAAAATGGACCCCCTGAATGTCATGAATCCTGGCGTTGGTGGATTGTCGACAAAATATCGATACGAAAAGGAATAAAGCAATTCAAATCGAGCGCTTTTCGAACTCYCGAGGTCTCAATCATTATGATAGAATATCCTGGCACCGTCGATGGAAATCAATTGATATTGTGTATTTTTCTAAACTGTCTAGAGCTTTTCTATTTGGAAGAGCGCATCAGAATTCGCAACATACGTCCAGGATTACAAATAATTTGAAACAACATTACAAAACGATAGTTTTTCTCCCGTATTTTTGTAGAAAATAAGCGACTGGTTACTTAATTCTGGTGTCTTTACCACTGTCACCCCGTTAGTATGCTGTGCATTACAGACCCCTCGTTCATTCTTCTCAGTTCATTGGCAGAAAGCGTCTTTCCCGTTGAGGCAAATCGAAAAGAGATTCAAAGAGAGCGTTCAGGAATGCCTTATCCGGCTTGTAAGAAGGACACGGTGTGCCGTAATACGCTTAATTGTTTCAAAGCAAAAAAATACTATTGATAAAAACCAAACATCAGACGTGACATAGGTGCTTCAATTGGGATGGCATCCGTGGTTTTTGCGTGCTTTTGTAGCATGATCCATACAGCTTTCTTTCCATCTATTCTCTATAGCTCGAATAACAATAGCTGCACACCTCCCCCGGGCATCCCAGCAGGCCGCTGGCCGTAGCAAGCGGGGCAGAAGCTGCAACGGGTGGTTGCGGGTGCCGTCCTCCTCCCCTGCCCACTCGCTCGGCAAAGCCCAGGAACTTGCGTTGCCGTTGCTTTTGCTTTCTCCTCTTCCCCCACGGTCCCGGGCTCGCACCGGCGTCGCCCGGCGGAGCGGCCTCCGACGCTTCCACAACCCCGCTGACCACCCTGCTGACCAGGACGTAGTTGATGACCGCGAAGGAAGCCGTGGTGATCCAAAAGGCCGCGAACTTCTCGAAGCCCCTGCCGATGAGAAAGCTGTTGAGGCCGGTCGCCCCCACGAGACCAAAGCCGTAGACCTTGAACTGCCCCCACAGCGTCAGACAATATTTCTCGTACGTGTCGATGGTGTCCATTCCGTAGACCAGAAAGGCGTAAAGCAGGTGCGTCGTGACGATCTGCACCAGGTAGGCCGAGAAGAAGCTCAGGCCGTCCTGGTACTTCTCGATCCCGTCCAGGAGGAAGGAATATACCTCCGTCGAGGCGATGAGTATGTGCGACAGGCACTGGAAAAAGACCTTCTCGAGGTAAAAAAACCCGAGGTTTCCMAGGTTCCCGGCCACAAAGAACCGAAATACCTGCGGCAGGTGCAGCCAGGCGTGGTAGACCCCCACCAGCGGRTTGCGGTGGTTGTTGCCGTTGCTGCCCGCGGTGTCTCTCGCCCGCGGCTCGGTCTTTTCCGAGCGCCACCCCTGCCTCCCGCGGCGGTGTGGCGGGCCGTGCAGAAAGGGGTCGTCCCCGCCGCCCCGGCCCCGATGGCCCCGAAAGACCGCCAGCGCCAGGCTSGCACCGGCGGCGGCAAAGGAAGACCCGCTGCCCGTTATCGCTCCGCCGAGGACAACGGAGGGGGCCGCGGCGGCGAGACCGGTCATTATAGACGCTTCGAGATTTTTTTSGTTTGTGTCGCTTCTCGCGGTGTTCCCGATCGGAGGCTGCGTTGCTGTTGCTTTGTTGCGCAGTTGTACAACAGTGCGGTATGGGATTCGGATGCATACGTACTCGTACTCGTACTCGCACCGAAAAGAAAAATGGAAAAAAGGATCGCCGTTTTGGCGAGGAGAGACTGAATGAATCTGAATCGCGGGAGGAGATTCCGAAAAACACACATAATTCGTCGAAGATTTTTTTGTTGAAGCTCCGGGGTGTCAGTCAGTCGGGGAGGAAGTGAAGGGCGTCGTCATGTTGAATCGGACACGAATGAATGAATKARTGAATCAACCAATCTCACAACCAATCGATCGAACGAGTCGGAAACTTTCATGACATGACGGAATGATTCGATTGAGTCAAAAATGTCCCGTCTGCCTGTGCATCTTGGCGGTGCGGCGCGGAGGTGAGGATAAAAACCGTTGCTTTGGTTTTTCTGAGAGCTCATCAGGCACTGTTCAAAAACCCCAGCGAGTGGCCACCGTTGAGATTGTACGAATAYTAACGAGACTGTTTCCCCAAAAGGCTTTGCGCCGGTGCAAACATAACATACCGTACGTACCTTACAGACTCAACCATTCGAACAAACAATAATTTGCCGAAACAGTCACCGTCACTGGAAGGGATTCAAAGCAACACACAAACGACTCAGCTCCACGTAGTGAGGTAACCACAGCCCTCGGCCGTCCCATCCGTCGCGACGAAAGAGCCTCGCCGTTTTGCCCCCGAGGTCCTGCAAGCAGSAGCAGCAGCACCCGCGTTATTTCGCTCCGTCTCCCGCCGATAACGCAGAGACCAGTATCGCGTTGCAAAAATGTCCGACCYTTCTAGCAAGACGTCCTCCGTGGCGCTCGTCGATCGCAAGCTCACCCCCGAGGAGTCCCGCGAGCTGAAGATCCTTTTGCTTCCCTGCTTCCACGCCCCCGGCAGCGACAGCTCCGATGTAGCCCCCGAGGACATTAACGACTTTCTGGACTACGTCGTGGCCATGGTCAACAATAACAAGGACGTTGGCTACATGATAAAGGAACTTGTCGGGATGGAGATGGAATTCTGCAACCAGGCCGTGGCCGAGAAAGTCGGTGAGGAGCTTTCGGGATTCTTGGCAAAGATCTCCGGGGCGGGGAACACCACCGGAGATGAGCCGTCGGGGACCATTGCGTCTCTGAAGGTAGGTTCCGTGTTTTTTTTTGTATTATTCGTTGTGTCTTAAAGAGCATATCCGGCAGCGGGTTTGGATTCTCCCGTGCTTACCAATCTGTGTACTAACGCCGCGTTTCGTTTTGTTTGGCATTGTTCATGGAAAACGACAGCCGAGCTCGTCGGAAAAGGGAAACGCTCTGACCATGTCCGGTGCTCTCGGGGCCTCTCGAGAGGGCGGCCGCAACAAGAACTTGGACAACCAAAAAGCCAAACAAGGCGATAACAACAAAAACAACAACAACAAAGCCTCCAAGCGAGACGACCGTAGGAATGACCGTGACGGCCGCAATTCCAACCGCAGGGGCCGCGGCGACCGAGGCCGCGGGGGACAGCCGCGAGCCACACACAGAGAAGCCTTTGACCGGTTGGCCGGTGGAACCAAGCGAGAYGGCCACCGCAGGGGCCGTGGCGGGGACGACGGCGACCGCCGCCACCGTAGGGAGGACGACCGGCGCGGAGGAAGGGGGAGCCGAGACGACCGACGCGAAGGCAGGGGGGGCCGGGACGGCCGCATGTCCGGGAGCCGGAGGCCCCGTGATGCCTACGAGGAGCGAGGCCGGGGCCACCACGACGAGGGACGCGGAAGGGGCGGCCGAGGCCGGGGTGGAGACGGAGCCCCGAAGCGTCAGCGATACGACGACTACTACGACGAGGGCTACGGTGGCGCTGGCTACTACGACGAGGGCTACGGGTACGACGGCTACTACGACCACTCGTACGGAGGCCGTGGCCGATTTGGACGGGGCCGCGGCAGGTTCGGAGGCCGTGGCGGGCGGGGCGGCCGAGGACGGGGCCGTGGCCGTGGCGAGGAACCGTCTACCGGAGAGGCGGCCGCTCCAGCGACCGAGACCACGGCTTCCGCTGGTGCGCCGGCCGCGGACGCCGCTTACCACCCGTCTCCGCTCGTCCAGGCCTCTTACAGCGGCCGCGGCGGCAGATTTGGTGGGAGGGGGCGCTTCGGACGCGGCCGCGGAGGCCGAGGCGGAAGAACTCACGTGGTCAACATGATCCAGTCCAAGACGTGGGTCCGGAAAAAACCGGAGGACGCGGCTCCCGCACCGGCCCCGTCCTCGTAGGGAGATGCTCCTCTACCAGCGGAACAAGAAAAAACGGCTGCCACACCACACCGGCGACGGCGTGCCACGCAACCCTCGAGGCAAATCGTGGATGCCAAGTGGTGTTGGCGATGCATTGCGCAGTACCATTCGTAGAAGACGAAATGGAAGACACCTAAGAGAAAGGAAAACAAAGAATAAATACATTTGATGCATTTGGAAAAAAATACTGAAAAAAGGAAAAAAAAATAAAGAAAACATATTTGATGCATTTGAAAAAAAAATACTGAAAAAAGAAAACCGAACCAAAACATACTTTTGTGGGAATCCATCCGATCTAGAAAGAAAGGTTCGCCCCAATGGACCTGTACCCATGTAGCAAAACTGCTACCTTGCCTCCACATGTACGTGAYTAGTACAAACTCCTCCATGTCCTACCAACGACCTATACTGTACACGGCGACGCCTTCAGATCGCATCGAGTTGTATGGGATGAAACGAAAGGATACGGAATCCGGGTGGCTAGGTCGAATCACTAACATTTCGTGATTTATTGCTTTCTTGTTTCCACTTTGTAATTAGCTTCCCTTGCCAACAGGCGGGTGCACCTGCCCGGAGCATGGCGTGTAGCTAGAGCATGAATGGACGAATGGACTCTGTTTCTGTTCTGCCTTGAAACTTCGACCAACCGGGAAATCTGAAATTGCTGCATCTATAATTACTACTCGTCAATCAACCAAACAAACAACTGGAAATGAATCTCAGTCTGCGGAATGYATAATATCKATTGTGCGATAGAACACAATCGATGTAGTTTCTAACGCGTGTTGCCGCTGTTTGGAGAAAACACTGCAACTGCCTCTTGCATATCTACCAAGAAGATTTCATGGTGACGCAGATTGATTTTGCTGCATCTGCGGTATACGAAAATGGCAGTTAGATAAATAGTTGGGGCACAAGTATGATTACGGTACATCGAAACACTATGGTTTCTTCATTGCCTAGTGCAACCTTGAGAWATGGTTAAAATTCTGAAGTCAATACTAACAGGTTGTAGTCAAGTAGATAAATTATGATATGCAAATCATACTACATGTAATCTTCTTACTGATACCATTACTACCCTCAAAGTTCAGGTGAAAAACTAGATACCAATCACCACTCGAGTGAAGCATCCTTCTCTAGCTCTTCTAGCACGTGTTGACATTGCTTCATCGATACTACTTGTATTCTTGTATCATATTGCAGTAGTCCGAAAGCCGACGAGTTCTGCTGCCCTCCTGAGCACGGGCAACAAAACACCACTGCCTGTTTCTCCCGCACGTGGCCAATAACATTTTAATGACTGTTGAAACGAGAACGCCTACTAATCCTGCCAAAAATAAACGGCGCTTATTGGTTCATCCTTGAATAAATGTCTGTGATATCTTGCTATGAGGTTCTTAATGGATTTGTTCTTAAGTGAGTAGAGCAACAGACAAGCATTGACGAAAATAGCTTACTCTAGTGAGGAAGTACTGTCCGGAAGACATAGGCGAAGAAGAGAATATCAACATGAACAATCATCGTCGCAAAAATTTCATTCCAACAGACCAAAATTTTGTGAGGGCGCGTTCCAAAAACTGAGACGCGCGAGAAAAAGTCATATAAATTTGTCGAAGACAGTCATGTAAATTTGGCGCTCAATCCGAGTATTTAGGCGATGATTTCTGTTGCACGCGCAGGGCASTTCTAATTTTATCGACAACGGAAACCGGAGACTTGTACACTCGAGACGCTTACACCGGCATGAGACCCTGTCCCGTCCCCAGTAACAGTACTCGCCCATCATCAGAACAGAAAATGCGAATTTTATGTGATCCTGKGTTACCTCACACTTCGTCAAATCGTCACAAATAGCGACTCCAACAAACGAAAAATCACCTTCATTTCAAACGATTAAATTTTACTAAATTTCAAATACAATGAAGGTAAACACCATCCTCGCTGCAGCAACTCTTCTCCCCCTGGCTTCGGCCAGAATCCGTGGATTCGATGCCAGTGATACAATCGAGATCAACGACTTGGAAGAGCGCCTCCTGGCGTTCTCCCTCCCTGGGGAGGCAATGAACGTCACCGACCCTGCCGATGACGATTTCGATGCTGACTTTGAAATCGAAACTCCTAAGGGAAAGAAACCCAAGCCCGGAGCTGCCAAAGTAAAGATCGAGAAGGGAAAGAAACCYAAGAAAGCCGACAAGTCAAAGAAATCTAAACTCGCCAAGCCAGATAARRAAGCCAAGTCAGCGAAGGAAGCCAAGTCAGCGAAGGTAGCCAAGGAGGGAAAAGCCGAGAAGTCAGCGAAGTCAGCGAAAGAAGGAAAGTCAGCAAAGGAATCGAAATAAGCGTCTTGTTTCAGCGAGGAGGAACCGCTCCAGCTAAATCAGACCAGTCATTGGAAACAGGAAGAAGACGATCCGCAGCTTCAAACGGTTTGCGTCGTAAGTGGAGTCCAGGCGCTGGAAATGGTTCGATTCGTGCTGAACCACCGGRTGTATTGACCACTTCTAATGCGGAKGCGGGATAATATTTTATGTAAAAGTTGTTTGAATAGAGTTTTTTCAGCTGTACCCTGTCATATTTCATGTGCATCATGTGAGTAGAAAAGGACTATTCGGCGTTGTTTCAAAATGGCGCAGATCAAAGGTATGCATCCGAGTRGATCCCATTTGTCTTCATAGTAGTTACACATCTCCCGTTAGACGGCCGAAAAATGCCATGAAAAATATCAGCCATAGAGTACGAAATAGCAGGAGGGAATATGTTCTCATACCTTGGGCAAGGGTAAAATACTGCACAGAGGACAYATTAAATATGCGTGTGTTCATGTTCATGGTTGATGCTGAATATATATTTATCCAAATCTCATATCATCAGTCATTATCAAACATTACAATCTAGAGGACTTGTTCTTCAAACCCAAGGTCTTTGTCTATAAGGGATACAGATATAGACACAATCAAACGGGCCCAGTATGAGCTTTAAATATAATATGAACTATTATTCACATGATATTCTGAACACAACAAGTTTTTGAGTGGCGCCTTATTCAAATGGCATTGCAAGAGATTCCTTCATGGATTCAAAATGGGCTGATTTAATATGCTGCAACAAAAAAATGCTCGCCTCTCGTCATCTCCCTCCCCCCCAACATTGATCCACTCTAGTCATCGAGTTTCGGAAATGCTTGTGTTCTCATCACAAACGAATGGTTTGAAAATCAGTCTAGCACGGATCGCTGCTTGTCACCAAACCGAAAAGTAACGAAACTGAAGAGGAGCAAGATTGTTCTTTGCCTTTCACTGTACTCCGCATTTCTAGAGCAAACAATTCCGGCGCCCTATCTGCTTCCTACATCCACGAGGGTAAACGAGTGGATAAGATGGCTGCAATAAGACAGCCATGGTAGTTACCGCAACTAGCTAAGTTTGGAAGGTGTGGATTGCCYATTTGCTACAGTCAGTTTGAAAGGAGTGGGTTACCCATCGCCGCCGCGCTGCTCCAGAAACGATTGCGGCGGACGGAGCAAGTAGTAGCGATTGCCTCGTTCCGATGCTTTCTTGCTTTCCAAACATTCCACCACCCAGGAGGGATCCCACACCAGGGACGCTTCTTCCTCGGTCTCCCGGATGGCACCCTCCAGGCTGGTTTCCCCCAGGTGCCGCTTGCCGCCCGGGAGGTCCAGCTCCAGCGAGGACCCGTCGTCGTACCCGATGACGAACCACCAGGACGGCTCRTCGCCGACGTCACCGGGTGCAACCGCGGGCGGCTTGCGGTGGCTGCCGWGCTTGGTGCCGTTCTGGGTGAGAGAGAGCGCCGAAGTCAAGTGGTGGCCCAGCTCGATCCCTCCGGAGAGCCGGTCGGCGGTCGGCTCCGTCCCAGCGGAAACGCCCTGGCCCGACAGGTGGCAGAGGATGGTTTCGACGGCCCCCGCGTTTTGGGCGCGGGTTTTCGCCCTGTGCAGATCCCAGAGGGACGATCGGGGGAGGCCTGCAACAAAGTGGGCGTGGTCGTGATGGAGCGGCCCGTCGGCCCGCCGGTTCTTCGACCGGAGGCTTTCCTCGCGGACCGCATCGATCGCTTCGAAGGACGGGGAGGCGACCAGGCAGAAYCCGTTGGGCTCGTGGCCGAAGAGCAGGCACCCCGCGCAGCTGAGCTTGAACGAGCTCTCGTCGACAGGCGTCGTTCCTCCCTCCGAACCGCCAAATATTTCGGCCCGGAGCTTTCGCTCGGCCCCCCTTGGATCCTCTTCGAATCGGTCCAGGCTAGTATCGGAACAGACGTAGAGATACCGCTGCTTCGTATCCGGAACGACTACGAGGGCGTCGATCTTCCCGTCCTCCGTTATCGTGGTTCCCTCTATGGTGGCCTCGCTCTGCCGGACCATGCGCAGGAGCTTGGGGCAGTCGCACATGGGTTTGTGGACCTTGTACCGCAGCGCCTTGCAATCGCGATGCATCCCCGCAAAACCGTTGGCTCGGTCCTCTTCTCCGTCACCGGTGYAGTATACCTTCAATGGTAGCTGCCCCCGTTTCCCCCCCTTGTCGTAGGCTTTCTTGTGTTGGTTGTTGTAGCTGTTGTTTCGTGTGTGGTTGTTCTTTTTGTTGTGATTGCGATTGCTTGTTTCGCCCCATGTTCCCCGACCTTTCTTCGGTTGAAAACGATGATTCCTGATCGGTGCGTCCTTGATCGATTTGTCATTGGGATGGAGATCTTCCGCATTTGCTCCCTTGGCTGCATTTGTTGAAGCAGCAATTTCGTTGGCTGCTCCTCTGGTTCTCGAGCCGGAGCCTCTACCTCTACCTCCGCCTCGCCCCCGGCCACGACCACGGCCACTTGAGCTTTTTCGACCGTGGTATCCTGCTCCGATGTCGCGTTCGCTCATTGTTTGTCTCGTGKTTTTTCTTGTAGAGTCGATGGTGGTGGTGATTGTTGTTCTTGCTCTAGTGGTTGTGGCRGTRCTTGCGGTTGCCCTCAGCCAGGAATGGCGTCGCGTTGGTGGTAAACGAGTGTGGTTTCGAAGACAAACACGAAACATTCCCTAGAACATTACAKGGATGCCTTGGGGCTTCGATGGTGTGTTCTTTGATCGAGCAACGATTACCCTGTCCTCCTACCTGATCTCCAGCATGAGCAACTTTTTATTGCAGGACATCAAATCAGCAATCGAGGAGAGCAAAACGCCAACCAATCTCTCTCTCTATTTCCTTCGGAAGGTGAGATTTTTAATTTTTAATTTTCCAATAGTTCTACCCTTTGTGACCCTAAATCGCACACTGGTTAACGTGGAGTTTCATACTGTACAGTACGTACCGTATTTACATACAGTACGTACATACGTCAAAGACGGATACGGTTTTTCGTAAAGCACCGAACATTTCTTCAATTAGTCGAGAAGAAAATGTGAGCCTAAATCACGAGTAGAGTGTGAAATTGGAAAATTTTGAGTTTAACTACAGTACAGTAATATTGTTGGTAAAAGTTCACTGATATCTGGCAAACGAACAAAGTTGCTGTGAATAAAGTGCAGCATTAAGGTGTTATCTATCGATTGAAATTCCGGGGCTCCAACAGGATACCTCTCCCGTACCCCGTTTCATTCTTGYTGTTTGTCTTGCATTGCATTTCTTCTCCGACTAGGCACTGACAACAAGTTTCTTTGCCATGCGATAGTACTTGCCRTCCGGGTTCAGCTCGTCACTGCCGCTCTCGAGGAGTTTTTGGAGCTCCTTGTGGAGTGAGGAGATCTCGTCTTCCATTTTCTCTACTTCCTCCGCGAGAACCTCTTTTCGCTGAAGGACGTAGCGGTTTTGTGTTTCCCGTTTCAGGGTCCTCAGTTCCGATGCACGCAACCGGTGCTCGCACGCCAGGCTAGAACAGACCGAAAAAAAGCAGGGGAACCATTAGTGGATATGAGCCGGACGATGACGACGAGGATGACGACGATGGACGAGTCGAGTGCCAGCAATTTGAACACGAAAACGATGCCRCATTTACCTYTTCAGTGTCTTCGCTTTGATCATGATAGATCGCTCTGTGCCGGTCAAAGATCCGCTTTCTGGGTTGTGATCCATTGTGATATGTTTTGGAATGCGATGCCTTGTTGCGTCTCCTTGTTGGTTGCTGTTTTGTGATTTGGGCCTCTCGAAATTTATGACACGACAAGATACCAGAGAGTGATCGCCTTGCTGAGRTGCAAGGGTGGGGAATGATCRGGACTAATATACGCTTCTACAGAGTAGTGGTAACATGATTCATTGCGAAAGACCATTGCCGCCAAAGTCTGGAATGAGATTCCCGTTCGYGATGACGGTCTTCGTCGTTTTGGCAACATTCACTGGGTTTTCCACTAAAATCTAAAACGGCGCGCCCTTTTTCATGCACGACTGGGCAGTCGCGTACTTCATCCGGGACCTTAACCGTATGCACCCGTACGTTTCGTACGGTAGGGTAAATCGTACGGTATTTGACATTCTTCTAAGCAGTTCGAAAAACGAAAAACTGTACCGTAAAAGATGTTTACGATCACGATTCTTGTGCTTGAATCCGGGACTGACACTCATCAACCCTAAAACCGGCCTATTTTTCATGCGAATGATAGTAATAGCCTAATCTACCGCATGGTGAGGATATTCGTGTGCTTCACACGCGTTCCTCGCTATAAAATGGCAAAGATACTTTTGCAGCAAATATTCTACTCCTGTCGTAATGTACCAGGTACCGTACAGGTGGGCCTTACGCAAAATATACCTTTTTGTGCACAATCTTCGTCCATAATTGTCTGATCTCAACTTCAGCGACACCACGGCAACCTATAGAAAAGACCATGAAGAACACCATGAAGCATCGCCAGCTWTACCTGYACCTCTTGTTCTGCGCCGTCGTCCCGCGCTCGGTTAGTGGCCATTTCTTTTGGGCAGAGACCGACCAGGACGCCGATCATCTCACCGTAGCATTTTCCGAACACGCGGGGGTTCCGGACAAGGTAGTGGAGAGGTTTGCCGATCGCGTGGAGACCATGGCGTACCACAACGGAGATACCACCAAAAACGTTGCCCTGGCCCTGAACGAAGAAAATAACCTGCTGGAGGGAAACCTACCGGGGTTGTATCCTCCCGGTCCAGCCTTTGTTTCTGGATACCTGGACAATGGCCCATACGAACGATTCAAGGACGTCCARTTCTCGTTTGGAGCCCAGATCTACGACAGCGAGGCCGATTACGATGGTTTCTTTCGGCCGCTCCTACGGGATGTAGGATATGTCCCCACGATTGTGATGCGAAACTGCGGGGGCAGTCCCGGMAAAGGATCGAGCTACCAGTTCGACGTCGCGGGGCTCCCTTCGCAGGGACCTTTTGGGGTTTGCCTGTATCGCAAGGGTGGGATCCTTCTGGACTGCGGGACCTTCTCGCCTCCWCAGGTWCAAGAGCYGCGGGGAGAAGATGCACACGGGGCAACGCCAACATCCGTCGATAGGTTTCGGCGATTGCGCGGTCGCGATGTCGCCAACGGTGACAGAGGAAATAGCTACACWATGAACCTTTCGATGGATTCAATGTCAATCGAATCACTAGACGAACCATCCTTGGCATCTCCAAATCTTATCTACGCACTTGCCAATCAGACAGTTGTCGACGACGCATCCGGGGACATCAGTATCTACATCGCCTCCACAAGCGTCTACTTTCAGGGACCATGCCAAGCGGATTTCTGAATCGTGCTCCATGGTTGAAATATCCTGTTTATAAATCATTTTCTGAATGAAAGTCACCAAGTGCCCTCTTCTATGTAGACTCAAAACACTTGTTGTTTCAGCCCGTAAAACTACTCTCTTGGTTGCTTGTGCTTGGCTAGAAGAGCATCCTGTGAGCCCAGCAAATGGTCCTCAAATAGTACACTTTGAGAATGCTAACTCACACCCATGCCTTCTGCCTCCTGCATCAGGAGTGATGTCAGTACAGTAGGTGACTCTCAGTAATAGTAGATCACATTCATCTTCCTCTACTACTAGTACTAGTAGTATCATTTTCTTCTAGTTTTGTGTTGAACAATTTTCCTCACCTACATCATCACCAAGTTTTCGTAGTAATTGCCTCCTTGGAAGAGGTGTACTAGAAATGCTATTATCATTACTAGTACTAGTACTAGTAGATTATTAGTTACTTAGTCAAACCTACTCTGACAAATTGCAATCTAATCCAGAGAATGGTTTTAGACAACATTTCTCTTCTTTTTTTACTGACATCTTACCGTGATGCCATACCGTCGAGACGCAAGACTGACTCAACATTCAACACTCAATACTCAACATACCGGTACTCTTAATACATACGTACTTGTACTTTCGTCGAGTACGAAATACGTACGAGTACGTACAGTTAAAACGTAAGTATGAAATACATAAAAGAAGTGCGCTACGCGGTACTTTACCGTACGGTACTGTAATTCAAATCCGCCAATCATACTGACGAAGGACAAGCCCGATAGCCATGGCTTCTTCGACAGGGACGCTGTGAAATTTTACGGTGCTCCTTTACTGTACCGTACGTACGGCACCGTATCGTATGGTACGATAAACGATGAACGGGTGTTTGAAGAAAGATTTGAGGTTATTCACGAGCTACTCGTGATTATCTTTGATCCACGTATTTATTCCCGCATCCATGACATRTGGTAATACAAGTTCTCTGCCACCCGTACGTACATTGTACGTTTAATACTGTATTCCTTGTACCTCTACGTACTACGGTGTACATGATGTAGAATACTGTTAGGACTCCAACGCTAGTTCAACTCCGAGCTTGTTCTCCGAGTTCATTTAGTGATGAATCTTCTCGAATCTCCTAAGCAAAGTTTTATCGTTCTTTCTCTGGTTGACCCAGTCACCACGCATCGAAACAAGGAATCTCAACGAATCAAAGCACCTCTCGAATCTCTGCTCACCTCGACAAACATGACACTCCTCGCCCCAAATTACTTAATCTTGGTTAACGAACGCATGAGAATCAACGGMAAGATTGAACATGAAGAATCTTAACGAATCAATCATTGCGCATCACTGAAYCTGCACTCAGCTGCCGTTCAACAATCAAGAAGTCGGCACTGTGTTGAAGGAGTACGAGTAGACCTCGTTCTCCTACTCACTACTTGGGTACTCATACCCCATGAGCCGAACTCAGTGGTGATTCATTGAGGAACGTTAACTCCGCATCAAAGAGGACTGAATACGAGTAGTCGAATCTCCATTGATGAGTTCGTTTAGGCAATCAGAAGCAATGACGCCCATAGTTCTAACAAAGCAACAAAAYCCTCCTATGACAGGCTTTCCGATAGGAACTTTGATAACGGAACAAACCGAAATGCAGAACCAACAGGAACAGCAACATGCTGATAGATCAGAGCTTGCCGGACAGGGCCTTGTGCCGCGTGGGCTTGTTTCCCATGTGCCTGTGTCGATCATCAGTTCTGTTGACTCTCGTGCGTCTTCTTCTAGCAGTCTGTCCTCGTTGTCATCCAAAGAAGGATCAGAGAACGGGGATACTTTATCTAGTAAYTCTCGACTTGCCGAAATCAACGGATGGAAGAGCTCAAACATGGAGATTACTCCACCTGCACAAGATTCAACGGCAAGTGCTGAGTTTCGTAAGATAGAATCCACTAAGAAGCGGCCTTTCAAGAAAGCACTCATCGATGCTGCCAATATGCRTTCACATGGTGCCTTCTCTCATTCGGAACCGCAAACATTGCTCAGTACGAGTCCCAAGAAAAAAGTCCGGAAGTTATCGAACGATTCATCCACACAAGCAACCGCACGAGTCATCTCGCCACCCCTGCAGCAGCAAAATCAGCAACAGAAACCTATGCAGTCCCATCTGATGCTTTTGGCGCGAGAAGAAGACGAAGCTCACCTTAGCCCACTTCATGTATTTGTTCGGAAACAAATCGAGGTATTCACTGCAACAACCACGGAGCTCACCGAACCAGCTCCGGGACGGAAGCAACCCATAAGGCTCCACCAAGTTGGGCTTCGATGCATCCATTGTCGCCATCTTACGACCAATACACCCCAAAAATCGAGAGTGAAGCGCGCCGTATGTTATCCCAGTTCCGTGGGAAGAATATATCACTCTGTCAGTGACATGAAATTTGATCACTTCAGCCTTTGCAAGGAACTTCCTCCCGATGTACGCAACACCTTTGAAAGCCTCAAAGCCGAATCAAAGCGCAGCAATGGCAAGAACGCGAATGGCAGCAAGAAGGAAAAGAAAACAAAGACGAGCAAGAAGGGGCAGACTTTCTCTTCCACCGCACAATACTATAGGACATCAGCTTCTCAAATGGGGTTAATGGATAGTCCAAGGGGGATCATTTATGTGCCTCTGAAACACAATAGCTCCTCYGAACGCTCAACAAACAGCCCCAATCTGGTTTCCGCAGCGATGTCCATGCAAAATCTCGTGCCACAACAACCTCTTCAAGCACTGTCCACCAAKAACACTTTTCACAACCATCTGAACCAGCCACAGAATCCATCGCTTCTTGCTTCTCAGGGTATATGCTCGACGAATTTTCTGCCACCAGATATTTCCCACTTAGTGKKAGCGAAGGACCATAGCAGCAGTATTGTCACAGAGATGGACCATAAAAATCTCACRGTTGCTATGAACTCTAGCGTTCTGCAATCGCTATTGATGAATGCAATTCTTGCAGGTGCCAACGCACAGAAGTCGATCGATGCTGCTTCCAAGGCCCTTGGTGGGGGCGGTTACAACCAACAAGCCAATACCACGTCTCCGTTGCTGCCCTCGGCCACCACTCCCGAGACCTCCACTGCGGCGCGACAGCTCGTACTTCCACTGGCTTCCCCCGAGGACGCCGGGGTTCTCAATCCGCTCCACTGCTTTGTCCGAAAACACGTGGAGCTTTTTGAAGCCGACGCGGAGGCTYTGTCCGCACCCGCACCCGGTCGCAAAGTCCGTGTCACCCTCGGCCAGGTCGGCATCCGGTGCGTGCACTGCGCCAAGAAAAATGCACCCGCAAAGGAACGCATCAAGCGCGCCGTTTGTTATCCCCCGAGCATCGATGGCATCTACCACTCGGTTTCCAACATGAAGTTCGATCACTTTGGGATCTGTCCCAACCTTCCTGCCGAAGCCAAGGCGGAGCTCGCCGCTCTTAGGACACCTGCCAGCGGCAGGCGCCAGGCAAGCAAGAGCACYAAAGGCAGCGGCAAACGAAGCTCGGGATCGAGTAACACCAACACGGGACACTATTATCGCGATTCGGCGATTGCCAAGGGSCTGGTGAACACGGAAAAGGGTATTCGGTTCGGGGATGTAGACAAAACACCTTCACGGAACAGCACTGATGCAGCTTCTGCTCCGGCGACAACGACAACAACCACTTCCGTATCTGACGATTCTACAACCGCCGTGACCGGGTTGCCCAATAGATCTGCCTCGCCGTCCTACCCGACCGGAATGTCGGTACTGATGATGGCCGCCGCATCKCATGCTACCCGGGTTTGAATTGCTTTYAGAATATTCATCGWGGGTACACSATTAGCTTTCGCGACGAAAGCTGTGTTCATTAATCAATGTTGTAACATTAAAGCCATGTATTAACTACACTAWCCTTCACCGATAACTCTTTTTTCACTGTGGSCCACTMGKSTGAAGTCCCCGTTTCGTAAGCAACTGACCCGCGTAGCACAGTGGGAGCAGCGGAGMGGGGCACAWTGTAGCCTTGGTGTTGCAAAACGAGCTTCCGGGTTTGTAGTGCAGCYGTTCACTGCTCCAMGAGCCATATGACCCTGCTGTTGYGGTTCTTCCGAAACCAAACAGCTACAAATGGGAGAAACGATACATTGTTATGATGRATAGCAATGACTAGAAGGAAACAATCTCCARCGCGAAAAGTTGAACAAGCTCTTGGTKYAATGCGCAACTAGAAAGACGTCAGCACGAGGTCGCCGACCGGTCCAGACACACGTTGGTGATCCAGTGCGTGTATTCCCCCACCTCGACCCCCAGCTCGCCCGCGACGTGCCCGATGAGGGTCGCAAAAAAGTGGACGTTCTTGACAAAAATGTTGGCGTTCTGCATCCGAACGATCCCGGTGCACTTGAGCTTTCCGTCCTCCAGGTAAAAGTGCAGCTCCCGGCAGCACTTGTTCTGGCCCCGGTCCCTCCAGTCGATGGTGGCCGATCCTRCCGTCGCGTAGGGGATCGGGATCACCGCCCGCTTGCTGAGGGGCTCRTTCCGGAGGCAGTCGACGACGTTGGCGATTTTTTCGGGCATTCCCTCCCGGTAGTCCCCCTGTGCACCGCCCCGCTCGTCCATCTGCCACCTGTCGCGGTCCTCTTCGGTGTAGTCCCAGCCCATGTTCTTGGCCGTGTAGTACTCGAGGGCCCCCCTGGGAAAGAGGTCCGTTTCGACCGTCGAGGCCGGGACGGAAATGTCCCGGATGACGCCGACGAAGTTCCTCACGACGAACTCTCCGCCGCCTCCCGCCTGGTCGTTTGTGGTACGCATCGCGTGTGCAGCAGCAGAGYATTAGGTGTCGGAAAAGAAAAGCRAACGAACAGCGAAYGAACAGCGAACGAGCATCGGCGTTTYGGCACGATCACCGAACCAAGCAACAAAACACGATGGAACGGAAGCAATCGACGCCAGGAATCCAACACACTGCGCAAGAACCAAAACAGAACAGAACAAACGGAAGCAAGAAAGGTATCTTTCGCCGCGGGACGGGTCGGTTGAAGACGAACRCACAGGATGCAGTGCGCTGTGCAGCGACCAGACAGAAGGCAGCGCAGCGCGAACGCGACGCAATGCGACGCAACCGKACGCACCGAGGTCAGCTCGACCAATCGAGCGTGGAGCTCTTTCGCCGTGGGGAATTGGGGATACCCAACGTTGAGATTATTGGAAGGAGCGCACTTGATGCCTTCGGATGACGACGACATTGTTGGGTAGTTGGGTGGGCCTAGTGTGTTGCGCAGTGGTGGGGGTGTTGCTGTACCATCCAGGCTTTTGCCGGTGCAAAGGAAGAAGTTGTGGAACGGAACCATTCCGAGAAGATTTTCGTTCGATCGAGAAAAGAAGATCTTTGTCTTTGTGGCAGCTTTCCCGCGCCGCGCCGCTTGAAACCTCATTTTCTTCGGCAGAGTCTATGAGGATCATATCCTCAACCCTAATGTTTCAAATTTCGAATATCATTTTTTCGSGGAGTCTTCGTGGTCACAGACGCAAAATTTTTCCAATGCTGGATGGAGCGATGACGACGGAATCAAGTGAAGTAGCGGGAAAAACAGGACGAGTGCAGTACGTACCAGTACCAGTACTCGTGCTCGTAGGATATTCGTTTCTCGAATTTGCAGACGAGCGACTTCCTGCCTTGGATTCTCAAATCCCCAACCGGCAACAGACTCCCTCCACAATTGTTGTTTCGTTCCCACCGCACAGCACCGCATAGCACTCTAACAAAATGACAGACGCCCCCGTGTACATGGCCACCGTGTCGGCCCCCACCAACATCGCCTGCATCAAGTACTGGGGCAAGGCCGATGCCAAGTTCAACACCCCCACCAACGACTCGGTGTCCGTCACCCTCGACCAGAGCGACCTGCGGGCCGTGACCACCGCCGCCGCCTCTCCGAAATTCGAAAAGGACCGCCTGTGGCTGAAYGGGGAGGAAGAAGAGGGTGCCTCCACCAGCAAGCGCTTCCGGGCCTGCGTCGACGGGGTCAAGCTCCTGGCGGCGGACCCSGAGAAGTGGAAGGACCTCAAGGTCCACGTCTCGAGCTACAACACCTTCCCGACGGCCGCCGGCCTTGCCTCGAGCGCCGCCGGGTACGCCGMCCTGGTGGCGGCACTGGCGGAGCTCATGGACGCGAAGGAAGCCTATCCCGGGCAGCTCACGACGCTCGCCAGGCAGGGGAGCGGATCCGCCTGCCGGTCTCTCTACGGGGGATTTGTGGCCTGGAGGGCCGGAACCCCGGAGGGCCGCAGCGACGACAAGGAACCCACCCCCTGGAGCGACTCCATGGCGGTCCAGATCGCCGACGAGACCCACTGGCCGGAGCTCCGGGCCGTCATCATGGTGGTCAGCGATGCCAAGAAGGACACGTCGTCCACGGCGGGGATGAGCACCAGCGTCGCCACCTCKACCCTGCTGCCCCACCGCATCGCGAAGGTCGTTCCCGAGCGCATGGTGGCCATCGAGAAGGCCTTTCTGGCCAGAGACTTTGCAGCCTTTGGAGAGCTCACCATGCGGGATTCCAACCAGTTCCACAGCGTCTGCGCCGACACCTACCCGCCCATCTTTTACATGAACGACGTCTCCCGCCAGATCGTCCGCATCGTCCACGCCTACAACCAGTGGGCCGGGGAAACCCGGGTCGCCTACACCTACGACGCCGGCCCGAACGCCGTCCTCTACACCCTGGAAAAGCACTCGGTCGAGGTCGGTGCCCTCATGGCCCACTACTTTCCCCCGGGCGAGGCATCCGTGGAGAGCTTTTACAACGACGCCTCGTTCGCCTCGGACCTCGGGGGCTTTTCCCTCGACCCGTCGCTCCTGGCCGCCACCGACAAGTGCGGCCGGACGCCGGCGTCGGGAGACGTCAAGATGGTYTACCACACCAAGGCCGGCCCCGGGCCGCAGGTCCTGGACAACGAGACCGACGGGAACCTCGATCCGGTGACGGGCCTCAACCGGTATACGAAACCGAACTRAGGCACCGGCCGGCGAGCCGAGCACGCGTGTCGCTTGCTCCGATMCCCCAWYTATTGCTTGCGCYGGAGCACGGGCGGTGGATKCGTTCCTCGATCGAGAGCAACAGCAGCGAACGACCGAACAAAGAATAGCGCCGTACACTAAACCATCACTATTTTACAAACAAACTRCACGCTACCATTCTACCATACGATACCAACCTTGGCARACACCCTTGCTGTGCAGCAGTGGATGTGAGAATCGAACACMGTGTTGTTTTRACGCCCGGTMRTGCAATARTTTTATTATGRRGTATAGCTTCCTACGGTCCGCTTCGTCGTTTTCGAAATTAGTCGTTCAGGACCACGGATTGGTGAGAGAARAAGCAAGCATGGTTGGTCGTTCAGTCACTGGCTAAAATCATCGTTCACTATTGGACTAGACAATATCAGTCWCTCAATGCCATCCTCTTTTGAACTACTTGCAACTATTATCAGTCACTCAATACCATCCACTCAATATCAGACACTCAATATCAGTCACTCAATATCAGTCACTCAATATCAGTCACTCAATATCAGTCACTCAATACCACTTATCAACTCATCCACCCGATGCCACTCATTTAACCTCTCGTTCAATCACAGACTGTCCAGGTAGTTTTTGGCAACCTGGTTTCCCCGGTTGGGGTCCTCGCTTCGCCTCCGCTCCAGGTCGGCCTTCATGTTCTCCCGGAGCTGCAGCCGAAACTCGTCCGTGTCGAGGCTCGGATCGGGGGCGAACTTGGAGAACCTCGTGTTGGCCTGGCCCTCGGCCTCGCTGCCCGCCGCTGCGTCGTCCGTGGCCTCGGCCTCACCACCGGGGGGCGGCTGCTGCGGCGGRAATCCTCCCGGATGGCCGGGTCCCGGTGGAAAGGACGAGCAAAGGGGCGGCAAGCTCCCGCGGTGCGTTGTTGGGTGGTGGCTGCGGTGCGGTGCCAAAAAGGAAGCGGCCGGGGGGGAGCACAGCAGCAACAGCAGCGACAACGACAGAACCCCGGTGAGGGAACGGCATGGCATCGTGATCACCATTGCAAGATGCGTGTTTTGGTTGGCTCGAAGGATCGTAATGTACTGGGTTTTGTGAGGTATATTGCTGGGAAGGATGCAGTGCGTTTGGTATCAGTGTTCGTCCTTGCTTTGGCTTCGAGAAAGAATTGCAACGTTCCGGCATCCGAAGGTTGAACAACTTCCCAACTCGTTTGTAGTAGATCTTTCTGGAGGGAACTACGGATGATTTGATAAGGGTGATGGATTTCTTGTTTTTTGGTTTCACGGAAGATCTGCTCGGAACCCCCCGAACAACGCGACTTTCGAATCGATAGTCACTAGTGAATCAACCAAGATTGGGTCACGAGAGAAATTCCATGGTCTTGCCGGTGACCCCCCGTGAACGCGGCGGGCGTGCAATAGTTTGTATTTTGTGTGTCTACTCCGCGCCAAAACTAATTAGGAGCCGAGAYGGCGGGTGTGGTTTTGAAATTCCCCGAGGTTTCAATTTTCAAATCGATTTCAAATCACAACATTCTGCCTTCGACGTCGGATGGAGAACTACAGCAGTCACAACATCAATTGCCGTACCGTATGATGCACAAGAAGTAGTAAGATTCGCAGCAAAACATCACGGATCACCGAACCTCTCGAAGGCAGTCAAATTCGTATCACCTTTTGACAGAACTTCTCCATTCTTAGACATCGGTACCACACCAAACCTAACAGGGCTATCGAACGACCAAAGCGCTAGGACATTCGGCACCGTATCGCAGCCCAGCACACCTGCCTGCTACAAAATTTTCCTAAAACGACATCAATATTTCCCGCTACACAACAGAGGAAGTCGTCGACCGATGAATGAACGGGCCGGCATTCATTCATACTTGTTAAAATTTACCGAGCATCCTTCTAGAAATACTTTTGTGCGCGCAGCATGGATCAATTAAAATTAAAAGCATACGCCGAAGACAGCGGCTTCCAGAAAGTTCGCAAGCTGCTTTTGCAGCAAGAAGGTGACAAGCGGCGRCGAAGGCAGCAGCAGTCGAGGCGGAGACAGCTGAAGGCCAGTGAGCGGTGGAGCTCAGCCAATGTCAAAAACAAAAACAACGACGAAGATGACGACGACGAGGATCTAAGAGCGCTTTCCTTCCGTCACAGATCCAAGGCATACCATCTTAGTCCGAAAGACGTSAAAAACCGAAGGGTGTACCGYTGGAACAATGCCACAGGCAGCGAAGCGGTACAGCTCCAAAAGGGACGCCCCTCCGGCGGTCTCATGCCGAATGTGAATTCCTTTTTGCAGCGCTACAACGATCGGCGGCCGAAGAGGATCGACACGGACGCCAGACCCATTGCCGGGGAGCATGCGACGTCGACGCCCTCCACGGCCGCCACCCCCTCGACGGCTGCCATGGACGACGACGAATTCGACACTCCCTACGACGAGCTCTCTCACTGCTGCGAGTGGCTCCAGCCACCATCGTCCCGCCCCTCTATCGAAAGCCGAACCCGTGCGAGGCCGGCAATCGGCTGTTCCCCGGGCGAAGGAGAAACCTTTTCCGATATTGGAATTGTTGTAGGGGGAACGACAACGGATGAGGAAACCCCGTACTATCCTTTCCGAACCACGAGGAAGGAGGCCGCCTCCTCGCTGGAGGGGAAGGAGGTTACCCTCGAGATGTTTGCCCGGGACCGGGAGGTGTCCACCGTCGAGAATACTATGGAGGACAAAYACCCGAAAAGAGAACGAGACCGTTYCGAGGACGATCTCGCAACGAAGTACATTGAAGAGGAGGGATCGATCCTCGAAGAATTGCACGGAAACCTAGAGAATCTGCTTCGGGAAAAGGACAAGGTAAAACGGGTAGTCGATGAATACGATCGCCTTGTGCGGCARGCCGGCTGCGCTATTGGCAATCCAAGCGCTAGCGATGCGGAGACTGGGGCGGGGAATACCACCAAGGCTTCGGGGAGGGAAGAAGTCGGTCGAAAATCCATGTCTTCGTTGAAAAACAAAACCAAATTGTATGACGACGTAAACAGCAAATTGAAACAGCGTGAAAACGATGATTTGGATCGAACGCTTGGGGGCACATCCTTCCGCAACATTACCGTACGAAAAAAATCCCAATCGAAAGCAGAAGCAACTCGCCTTTCGGATCAACGCAGCGTCATAAGCTACCCTGCTGGTTTCAAACCCCACCAAAGCAGTTCTAATCGACAGAGCGTTGTTACCTATCCTCCTAATTTCAAGGCACAGCAAAAATCATCCAGTCCACACAGCGTTGTGGCACTCCCTCCGAAATTCAAACCGCACGAAACCAAATCTCGAAAGCCTAAGCAGCCGTCGTTGCATCCAAACGTTGCCGCTCCTAAAAAATCCATACACAAGGCAAGCAATTCGGTTCGACAAAACGTTATTGCCTATCCTGCCGATTTCCAAAAGCCTGGAAACAATCTTGTTCGACATCCAACGAAAAATTTATCTCCTAGCAYCAATGAGAAAGAGAATGAAAAGGATATTTTGAGAGAAGCATCTCTTGCCGAAGGAGACAACTCTCAAACTCGTCAGACCGATCACAATGTTCCAAAGGGAGAAACTTTTCGAGCAAATCGAGTCGTTCCTCTCCCGCTATCGACCATTAAAGAGGAGCAGGCACAGAAACAGACACATACACAATTTGAATCTGCACGAAATAAATTTGAATCGTCATCGGGAACGCTCCCCAACCAGAAAACAAAAGCACGTGCTGAGAAATCGACGATTGATAGGGAGCAGACATCTTTTCAGAGTGCGAGGCAATTGTTTGAAGCACCGATAGCTCGAACGCTGCCAAAACATAAAGCCCCTGTTGTCGGCGAACAAAATAATACTTCCGAAGCACCTAAACTAAGCGAGGTCGCCATTGCCGCTGGGCTCATCGATGCTCAGGCAACCCTGGCGGTAGACCAGCCCAACGACAAAAGGGCTGCCATGGAAACCAGATTGACGCACAACGTGCAAAAGTACAGCAGGGAAGGTGGATTTTTTAAATACGTGATACGGATGCGAGCCGCCACCTCGATCCAGGCCCGTTGGCGAGCCTACGTCCGTAGATCGGACTATCTCTGGTATTTAGACCATGTGTCACGGAATCAAGCAGCTACGCTGATCCAGGCCCAATGGCGAGCCTACGACTGTAGAATGGATTATGTGTGGCACCAGGCATCGGTGCTGATTCAGGCACAGTGCCGGTCCCGCATTTTTCAAAAGAAGTACGCGAGAGTTCGTTCCGCCGCATTGCGGATTCAATCCATTGCGAGGATGAACGCTTGCCAAGCCAGCTATGCTGAGAGCCAGGCCGCTGCCAGGCTTTTGCAAGCCARCTGGCGTGCTTCCGTTTGTCAGAAACAGTATACAAAGTACGTGAAGTCAGCAGTTCTCGTCCAGTCTGCAGTAAGGATGCTTCAATGCCAGGCAAGGTTTCTTCATGCCAGAACCTCGGTGACGCTGATCCAAGCAGCGACACGTTGCTATATCGCAAGAACCCTCTTTTTGGACCATTGCCAAACGAGATGCAACGCTGCCACTACCATTCAGTCTGCTATGCGAATGAACATTATCCGAACGATTTATATTCGGACATTGCTCGGACACCAGGCCATAACGAGGATCCAGGCGTCGTTTCGGATGCACTCGTGTCGTTTCTTTTACGTCAGATGCAAAGAAGCCGCCACGATGGTACAAGCATTACAACGAAGGCATGCATGTCGTACTTCGTATCTMGAGCAGAGAAAGTCAGCTACGTCCTTACAGGCAACKGCACGAATGCATTCCTGCCGTACGAAGTACTTATCAAGCAAAAAAAATATCACAATTTTGCAAGCAATCTGGAGGTTGCACAACGCTTCTACTAGATATAGAGAGAAAAAGAGATCAATTGCAGCAATCCAAACATTTTTCAGAATGTATCTCCACCATCAGAAATATCTTACCCTCAAAAGAGCGACACTGAATACACAAGCTGTAGTGAGGGCTTTTCTTGGACGTAAGAACTACATCAAGCAACGAGCAGCTGTTTCAAAACTGCAAGCAGTTTCACGAATGTATATCAGCCGAAGCCGCTACCTCGAGCTCAAGAGAGCTGCGACGACTGTACAGTCTACATCGCGAATGTATCTCTGCCAGATTGCTTTCAGAAGATATCTGAGTGAYATCGAATTCGTCCTGAACCATTCGGCTGCATTGATTCAGTCACACTGGAGGGCGTCCGTAGAACGAAAAGATTACGCCTCGTTCAGAGCGCTGAGAGAAGTGCAAGAACGATGGAGAAGTTCGGGTTGCAGCAACGACTACGATGCGTTGGTGTCGGTGGCAAACATTCCGACCACCGAACGATCTATCATCATCCAGAGAAACTTCATTCGCTTTCTTTCCGCAAAAATAATGCAGACCGGTTGGAGGGACTACCGTCACCGAAAGGCCACTGCGGCAGCCAGTCGTATCCAAACCTATTGGAGGAAACACAAGTGTCAGAACGCGTACATAGCTACAATCACGTCTGCTGTTCAGATCCAAACAAACTGGAGGGCC